TGTGTGTGTGTGTGTGTGTGAATGTGTATGTGTGTGTGTGTCTGTTTGTGTGTTTGTGACCGTGCGTGTGTTCGCGTGTTTGCCCTTGTATGTTTAATATAATCACACACATTGGTCTAATAAGCTGCGACACTGCAGATCTTCCATCCGATTGAGAGGATAAATGGGAGTGAACTGGCTGGCTAAATGAGCGACCACTTTATATAGTCGTGCGCCCTCTCTGTGGTCGGGAGAGAAAACACCAGAATATATAAACCGAAGCATTTCAACTCCTCCTCTTTTCATTTTATTCATTTATTTATTATCTATTTATTTATTTATCTATATATTTATTTATTTATTCATTTATTTATTAAACTTAATTCCGAAAGGATTTCTCTTCGGTGAACGGGAGTCTAGAATGTTATAAGCTTGGCAGAAAAAGCAAACATCAAATAAAATAATTTTTTTATAGTCTTCTTTTTAAAAAATCGAAATATAAAAAAAAGTTTTTACAAAAATAAATCCTTGGAACTAATTCAAAATGCATGTACAGGTATAAGAAATTACGAAAAGCGGCTTCCCCAGTGGCTACAAAAGTAAATTGACAGACTCCACAATAAAGGGGAGATTATCCAGCGCAACAGGCTGTCTTGAATTACATCACTAAAAACACGGTTGTTGCCCTTGGCACGTTCCCCCATTTTTACGATCCAGCAACAGTTTTCGGTTGCTTCGTCAAGCTTTTGTGAAAGTTTTCCCTTTCCGTGAGAGACTTTTTTACACTTGATTGTACATATATTCATTTAACAACAAACAATGATTTAGGAAGGCGGCTCCTTCAACTTGTCTGACAATGTGAGTGATAATAATGGAATACATAATAATATTACATCAATCGAGCAAAAAGACGGAGATACTCGGTAGGACATTAATATTCTCCAAGTGAGGATCGAAGTCATGTCTTATGCGTGCGGAATTATCAGGCCACAGATACCGCTTCTCCACACTTGATGCAGAAAGGAATTCTTGACAATGGGGGCTAAGTCAATGAATACATTATATAATAATATACAGACGACAATTTGTATGTATATTACATATCTACCGTCAACGTTAAGTACGGGCATCGCGTAAATCTATAGTCAAAACTAACTACAGGCTTTCAAATAACTCGGTTATATCTTGTCAACGCTAATTATACAGATACATCGTACATAAATTGCCAAACACTAAATATACAGACAATTTGTAAATCTATAGTGAACACTAAAAATATTGACAGTTCGACATAATACTGCTACCGCTAATATACGGCTAATTTGTACACAATATATTGTCAACACTGAATACACACAATTCGTACATCCATTGTCATTTCTAAAGTACGGACAGAAAGTCAGTCCTCTAGTGTCAAAACTAAAAAAGACCCCAGACAATCACAATATAAAGAAGAAAGAGGAGAATAAAGACATTGGAGATTGGGGGACGAAGAGAGGGGAGCAGGAAGGGGAGTGGGGAAGAGACAGAGACAGATAAACAGAAAGAGTCGTTTAAGAATCTCCCTCCTCCTTCCCCCTCCCCCCCTTCC